GTCTTTCTCCTGTCGCTCTTGCAGGCAGAGTCCACGAAACCGCCCCTCATCTCCCGGCGGAGGTAAACAGCGCCCCCCGTCTCCTCAGCCCTCCGCCACCAAACCGCCCCCCATCCAGCGCCCGGCTCTCACCCCCACTGGGCCTCCCACCCTCCGCAAGAGGGACTCCAAACCCAAAGAGGGCCCCACGGTGCAGCCGGTCACCCCACAGTCGCCCGAGGCCCCGGCCAGTGTGGCCCCCAGCACCAAGACCAAAGAGGGTGAGTGTGGAGCGGCAGCCTCCAGGGGGCAGTGTAGGTCACGTCCTGGATCGAGCACGAGAAGAAGCATGCAGATTTCGTATTTAATAAAGCACCTTTCCAGAAGACACCCTGAAACACCCCACATAACTGGAAACCCCAAAGCAGTGGTAAAAAAGGATGTGTAGACAAGAGGGTTTTGAGGCGAGATTGAAAAACATCCAGTTAGTGAGTTGACCTAGTCCCGTCTGGGCTTGGTTCCTACAGTTAGTCAGTGTCCAAAGACACTGGGGGACCTCAGCCAACGTCCGGAGACTGGTCTTGGGGACAGACGGGACAGCTGTATGAAAGCACCAGAGACTGAGCCTGTTAAGATGTTCGGACAACAGATCACCCCAGAAAAGGGCAGACAAATCGTCTGGGTCCTCGGAAGCCGTGAGGAAGATTTCGAAGCCGGTGCAGATGTTTCGGGAACGCGAACAGAACATGGGATCTCGGGTTCGGACTTGGGGGCAGTTCTCAGTGCAGCAGTCCAGGGTGGTGTTGAGAAGTGGCAGAATGGTCCTTTGCCCGTGGCCTAACGAGCTCAAGTTTTCCATTTTAATTTGCTTTTGTATTCTGCAGTTTAGCATGACGGGAAGTCGGGAAACAGCCCCACCTGCTGCCCTGTTGCATGTATTGCAGAAACCAACTCGGCTACTGATAGTGTCGAAAGGGAGATATTTCTGAGAAGTTATCAGCTGTGCATTTAAACTGCGTTCTGCTTTTAGATTCTGTACCGACGATTGGATTTAAAAAAAAACAGGTCTGGCTGTGGAGAGGCGTGTGTCCTGAATAGGAAATAGAGCCAGATAGGAGACGCTGATCTTTTTCATCTTTCTACTCGCGTACCTCCCTGACTCCCAGCTGACTGCAGATGCTATCTGATGAGACAAAGAACCCTTTATGAATGATAGAGCTGATATTATGAAGGCAGCACCAGTAGCTTTCACATAAAGACAGACTTGAAGCAATCCAGCACAACAGATACAATAGCAGTCTAGCTGAAGTGCCTCGGTTTTTAATTTTTTCCTTTTTCAACGGCTCTTGACATTTCAGCAGAGCTGAGCGTATTCACACCCATTTTTGCAATTCACAGCCATGTTCATTTATAGATGGAGATTAAAATGAAATAGAATTCAGTTAAGAGTCTGGTACGTTTTGCAATCTATTCAAATTGTTTTACTGCAAGCCCACACTTTTATTTTCTCTCTTTTTCATGCAGCATGTGATTCGTAGGAGAAAATTAGTGGAAGTTGATTGCTTTTTCTGTAATACAGCCTTAGTCTAATGCAGCAGGGTGCCACCTTGTAGCCTGATCGCATAGGACTTGGAAGCTGGGCCTGGGCAGTTCTGGGATGCAAAACAACCCAGGATGCTTCTGCAAGAGATGTCTGTGGACCTGTAGGCAACAATCTTCCCTCTTGCTTTATTCGAGAAAGTGTTGTCCTTCAGTTGAGATCTTAAACTGTGGTGGGCTTGCTTAGAACGGCCGCTTAAAGCTTCCCTTAAAATTCAGTTGGTGAAGTAATTTCTCACTGTTTCACCTGATGTGCTGTCAGATCAGATCTGCTTCCACACGAATCTTCACTTAGTCATGGTCTAATAGAGCTGCCTGAGCAAACGAGACCTGCAGTACAGTGATGGGTAGGGTGGTTCCCCTCCTATCTATACATTGAGATCCCCCATGATGAATATACAGACACACGCAAATATTCATGTCTGTTGCTGGGCTTTTGGTTTTGTCACGATTCACACACCATACATGAAGTAGTCATCATCATCTACGGTTGTCCAACATTGCAATGCCTAGTTCTTTACAAATATTTTTTGCTGTGCCGTTTTATTTACTGTATTGTTTTTTTTTTTAAGAGTAATGAACTTCTGACCTGAAAGGGAAAGCAACAACTAACTGTTTGCCAAATGTTTTGTATCTGATCAGTGTGAGGGAGGGAGGTGCCCTCTGGTATTTCTGTCCTCACTCACTTTTATCTGATTGAGATTTCAAGAGGGCTTTTAATCCAGAGGTTGTTTTGGCCCAGGAAAAGACACTGAGCTGTGAATGACCTGAGGGTGTGCGTGTCCACAGCACTTACTTGCTCTCTCACATGCATTCTTTTTGTTCCATACGTAGAGTAAAAACACTCTTCCTGTTGTGCCTCTTAAAGATAGCACTTTTTAACATTTGTGTGCATAATTGCGGAGAATTTACAGAAACGTACAGACATCGCCAATTAATAAATATAGGTCCTTATATTAATAAGCAAGGAAGATTTAAGATTAATGGCTTTTTTTTTTTTTGTGGACTCGGCACAGACTCCAGCACCAAAGCTATAGCAGGGACCACGTCAGCCGAGGAGGCGGCTAAGATCCTGGCGGAGAACCGGCGCCTGGCCCGGGAGCAGAAGGAACGAGAGGAGCAGCAGAGGCTGCAGAGAGAGGAGGAAGAGAGGTCTGGAAGCAAAGAGCCCTTTTTCCCATTTGATCAGTGAATTTGGACGGGTGAAAGCTGACAGATACCATGCATTAATGTCAAGCACTGGACTCGTCGTCCTTTGTTTATATGACAGCCCTCGGGGAGTGTGCTGTGGGCTGGGCGCACATTTCCTATGGCAGCTGCAGGGGTGCAGGCACAGCCTCCTTGGGTTTTCAGTCCAGGTCTCCAATGATGACATCAGCATATACTAGTGCCACCCGTCTGACTAGCGTTGTAGCTTAGTTGGTATGTGACTCTAAAATTTAACCTAACTGGTTCTTAAAGAAGAAGAACCAAAGTTTGAACCTCAGCCGTTTGGCTAAGGGAACCTGTTGCAGACCGCTGCAACTCTGTAAAGCGAGGACTCTGGGAAGCTGATTGTGAACAGCACACAGGCACCCTGACCGAGCCGCTGCTGCTGCTGTGGTCCACAGGCTCCGGAGAGAGGAGGAGAGGCAGCTGGCGGAGCAGGAGCGGGCGCGGCGCGAGGAAGAGGAGAAGCGGCTGGCGGAGGAGAAGAAGAGGGAGGAGGAGGAGAACGCGCGCTTGGCTGAGGAGGAGAGAGCCAGGCAGGAGCTGGAGGAGCAGGAGAGACAGGCTGAGCTGCAACAGCAGGTGTGTGGCTGGGCTTGACCCCTTTTCTTCCTTTCAGTTTCACCTGCTGACACTGTGAACTTGTGCCCGACTGTGAGCTGGTAATGTTCTTTTCTCACACCAGCAGTAAACAGCACAGTTCGAATGGCAAATAGTGCTGGGTCAGTTGTAATTAATAATTCGTTTTATGCTTTTTTGCCATCTTATACCTTAAAGCTGAATTGTTCGTTTTCGTTTTCAGTTTTTGAAAGCTGTGTTGTAAAGCAGAGTTAGGTACTGTTAGTTCTGGGTCACAGAAAGACTGACCGTGCAGGGGCACGGCCCGGTCAGAGCCGGCGCCGGGCCCGGTGCGTGTCTGATGCCGTGTCCTGTCCGTGTCCGTGTGCAGCGAGAGGAGGCCGAGGCGCGGGCGCAGGAGGAGGCGGAGAAGGCCAGGCAGGAGAGGGAGAGGAAGCTGCAGCAGGACCAGCAGGAGCGCATGGAGCGGAAGAAGGTGGGAGGCGGGCCGCCGCTGCAGCCGGGGGGGGCAGTCCTGGTCCTAGAGGGTCTTTCTTCCAACTCGGTGCTCCACATCAGAAATCCGCTCATTGTGGGCCGAATGGGACCAATCTAACAGGTTCTCCCAGCTCTTCAGGTGCTGCTGCTTTGGCGAAACCTGGGAAATCTGCAGACAGGGCAGCCCTCCAAGTCCAGGACTGCCCAGCCCTGCACTACAGACTTGGCTTAGTCTCTTGAATAGTGTCAGTGAAGTAACGGTCCTCATTGACAGCATAGGTATCCATCTCCTGCTGTGTCGTTTCCTTATTTATTAAGTGTAATAGTAGGCACAATGTTTGAAAGCAATATCTCTCTCAGGGTCTGTTCACATTAAGTCAGTTCAGATTTCTGTACCAGTCTCTGGGGTTCCAGCATCACAAGGTGCTTGTGCAGGCGGCTGTTTTAGTCGAACAACTGCAGTATGCACACTGTGCCCTTTGGAGCACACTCCCATGGGCAGCAGCACTCCCCCAGATCCTGTGATCCCCGTTTCTGTCCGTGATGGCTTGTGTGCATCCTCCTGTGGTGTTGGTGCATGTTTTTGCATGAATGAGCTAAACTGAAATTACAGGTCCTCTGTAAGTACTCACATCCTGTAACATCAGTTGATTCACTTGATTCGCTGAATGTGAATGCTTAAGTGCTGAACGGATAGAGAAGTACACATGCCTGCAGCTGTGAAAGATTTAATGCTTTTCAGCTGAGTTTCTTTTCCTGCGGTCGCAGCAGAAGGACGACATTGAATCAAGTGGGTTTCTGCAATTCGGGCAGCGTATTATTAATGTAGGAAAAATGTGGGTAATACTTTAATTGATTCTAAAAAATGCTAAAACTAAGTCCTTCTGAAACATTACACCACATATAATATGCGTACTCCTTTGCAGTCATTTGTGCAAGTGACGTTACAAGCATGTGGTTATTCATAACCGTTTGTAACGAGACATTGTCTCAATCGAAAAACTAAGAGCAGAACTTAATTTTTCTTTATAAAAAATAATAGAAGATGCCATTTAGTGCTTGAGAGCTGACAAGAATGTCTTGCAGATGCAATTAAGTCACATAGGTCCTGGTGTGTTTGTGAATTTTTTTTTGCCGCATGGTTTTTGTTCATGTTATCTTGAGTTTATGAAAGAGTTACGATGGTGTTTTTTAGCCCCATTCAAGTAAAGCAGTACCGAAAAAATCTTCACTCAGTCCCCAAGATATTACATAGTTTTAAAGCCACAGTAGGCATATACAGTATTTCTCTGGCAGTATCGCTGAAAATCAGAAGCAGAAGACTTTTCCCTGCTCCAGTGTGGAGTGGGCCCTCTTCAGGACAGGAGGAACTGCACCTGGTTTGTGTCCCGGAATCAGGAGGTGTCTGTTTCAGCATAGCTTTTCCCTGCAACTTCAGATAATCTTGTCCTTTACCTTCCTTAGAGGATTGAAGAAATAATGAAGAGGACAAGAAAAACGGACCAAAACGATTCAAAGGTACGTTTCACCGACTCGGCCAGGGCTGGCCTGGTCTCGGGCTTGCCGGTGTGGGAGCAGTCTGTGAAAAGGAAAAACGCTTGGCAGGAGTATTCGTTTCCCAATTCGTTTTGGGATGTTTGTCATTAATTGTTATTAATTGGTCCCAAATGCCAGAGTAGGAAAGGAATAAGTAACTGGGGAGAGGAGTAAATCCGCAGCAGGCTTCCCATTCCCTTGTGTCAGATCAGCAATTGTGCAGGAAAGTGGCATACTTTAACAGGGACTCTGGGAAGAGTCTGTGCCCTGCGTCAGTCCTCTGCGCAGATGTGTTCTGCCTCGTTGCTGGTGGGCAGGGGTTTTCCTGCGCGGGTCTGCTGTCTCTGCTGTTGCTCAGCATGTCTGAAGTGTTGTGTATTTTGTGCAGAGAGATGAGAAGGATGTGCAGGATGAGAACGGACTGGAGATGCTGGGCGCAGAAGATGAAACCAAAGGTAAGGTTTATCTTCCTCTTGTCCTCTTTAGTTTCTCTAAACTGTTATTCTTTGTCAGATTATAGTTTTCTGGAACAGACACAGGATGAGGGCTGTCAGACTCCATTCCTGGAGGTGCTATCATCTTCTGTTCTTGCTACAATCTGGGTTGCCAATTAAACAATTAACCTAATTAATATCTTAAGGATTAAGAAAATAGTATTCTCAAGGACACAGTTGATTGACTTAGGTGCTTTACAGTTGATTACCCTAAACAGTCAAATCATTAAAGGTACATTTCCCTATAAAGCACCTGGGAGCCAAGTCAGAAGTAATCGAATTATCCAGTTAATTAAATAAAAGACACTGGATCCTCCAGGACTTGAACTTGAAACCCCTGCTATAGAAACAGTTACAACCCATAGCTTTGTTTCGTGCCCTTTGTTTAAAGCCCTGCCTGCCCCCATGACAACTCAGCGCTCAGCTGTAGAACAGGCGTGGTGGTTACTGGAGTGCTAACTGGGTGCAGTCTTCCTGCCTGTCTCTGCAGAGGGAGAGAGGAGCGTGTCGGAGGACTGTGCCGAAGGGGACCCGGATCAGAGCCACCTGGGACGTGAACGCAGCGAGCATGCAGAGAGCACGGCGGGGGACCAGGCAGCCATTACCCCTGGGGAGGTGGAGGAGCTGGAGGGCGTGAACGGGAGGGCAGAGGAGGATGACCAGGAGAACAACAATGGGACATGTCCTGAGGGAGTCAGGTGTGCATTGCTCAGCTCCTGCTGTTCATGTAGCTCTGTCATCTTAGGAATGTGACCTGCCTGGCTGTTCACCTTCAAGAGAAACATCTAGCAGTTCAGCATTGCAGGAATGATAAAATGCCTGTGCCCACAAGAAGTAGATTGAGCAGTTAACTGTCACGCCATTCGTTCATCAGCAGTATTGCTGGAGGAGCCCCACAGGATTCGAGCTCAGAACTGACCTTGTGGGCATCGTGTGACATTGCAAAGCACCCAAGTTTCTTAATTGAGTGTCTGTGTCTGTTTCAGTTTGGTGCCTGAAGCCCAGCCAGTGGATTCCTCGTTTGTGCACGTTAATGAAGACTCCAAAGTGGGGCTGCTGCCCAATCTCAATGGGAAGTCCAGCTCCTGGAGCTTTGAGGAGCTCATAGATCTGGGAGTCCACTCCAAAACCACACTAATTACTGTAGACGCCATTAATGCTGATGACTGTAACCAAAACCTAATAGATGCTGCAGGCATTCCTGACGGACCTAGAGTGGCATTTGAAGACAAGGCTGCAGTGACCTCATTGAGTAAGCCCATTGAAGCCGTTTCAGGTAATCCTAACGTAAAATTTCTAATTCATCATTTAATTTGCGGAAAGATTTTCATGTTTATTTTGTTGAGAACTGGGCGTCCTGTTGGCATGCTCTTAGCAGCAGTGCAGTGGGAGGCATGGAAGATGCCTTAATGATCCCAGTGGTGTTGGTCATGAAAGCTGTCATGTTAGAAGACTCAGGCAGTGAAGCTGCTTTGTTGCAAAGCCAAAGATGCTCATTTTAATCTACAGATCACTGTTTTACCAAGATTAACAATTTTCCTTTGCATGCGTCTCTGACACACTTATGGCAGAGGATTATACTGGTGAAATTGATGTAGCATGGATGAAAGTCTTTATTACAATATTGCAGCCTCAATTAGTTCATTATGTTTTTGGTAGATTAAAGGTTTCATTATTAATATATAGGGACAGAGGTTTAAAGCCAAATTAATCTATCCTTTTACATGTGAAAAGTGTGAAGAAATGGACCTCTCGGTGAACAATTCATTAATTAATTTTTACCCGAGATGAGCGAGGAAGGCGTGATTGTGATGGGTTCCTTGCTGTTGTACTGGAACTGACTGTCCCTTTCTCTCCTGCGCCTGCAGACATGTGAGAGAGGGAGAGGGGGCGCCTGCAGGTCTGTGATTATTGCACTCCCGGAATCCTGTCTTGTACTGCTCCCTGAAGGCCTTCTGGTCCGAGACGAGCTGCTTTGACCGAGAGAGAGAACTGCGACCGCGGCGGGCGAGCCAGAGAGCACACGTGGAAACACTCGAAAGGAATGTGGATTGCTAACTTTGCACCTCAAAGAAAAAAAAAGTTAAAAAAAGCTTCAGGGAAAAAAATATTCCTTCATTTTGCTCTGCTTTTTGTCTTAGACAATTAAGTCTCATCTTAACATGAACTGAGTCTTTTTTTTTTTAATTGTGGGGTTGCATGATCATATTTATTTTATCTGGCTTCTGCACATTGACTGTTCTGTTCCCAGGCTTCTCCGTCCAGATTTCTGTGGGGGGGTGGGGTTGCCTTCTGTGTGGTGTGAGACATCGTAGCTGAGCCCCGAGAAGCTTTAAAAAGCCAGTGGCTCTTTCTTAGGCAGGTTAGTCCTGCGGTGGAGGAGCTCGCTTAGGGGCTTGAAGGTTTCGCCCTGAGCGATGACGATCTGAGAAGGGGGTTCCCAGCCCTGACCCCCAAATCCCACCTTTTTTTTTCCCAGCCAAGCTCTTAACTGGACCCTTAACGTTGGCTCTGAAATGTGACAGATAAACGTGGTCGACCTCCAGCACATTTTGAGAAGGAAACCTGCAGAGGAGTCGACGTTATTCCGATTATCGGACCGGTGTTAAGGGTTCAGTTGTGCAACTGAGAGCTCGGCTGAAATGGAAACCAGCAGGACTGGGGGTGCCCAGGACCAGTGGTGGGAAGCCCTTGTGCTACGAGACGAAAGCATGTTGCTCACGCCTTGGGAAGATGGGCGTCTTCTGTCTCCCAGTCTCTTTCTGCCTGTCCACGCCCAGACTTTCCCTGGATTATCGTCTCTGGCTGGCTTGAGCAGGTGTAAGTGCAGGCCTTGTCCCTCCCTCTTGCCCCCTCAGGGCAGTAGAGCATGTGTAGAGGATTGACATCTCTTTCAGACGGTGTCTGCGTCATAACTACGGCTCTGGTAAGCATGTATGCTTGATCAGTTGTTAATCACAACTGCAAACTCTGATACAGGTTCTGAGTTCATTGTAAGTGATCCAGAAGCCATGGCTGATGGAGGTGTGCTGCTTTGTCCTTCTTGATCTGAACAGACCTGTAGTCCAGCCTGGCATTAGCTCAATGAAACATCTCCTATACTGTATAAAGGTAGTGGACCTTGGCCATGGCATTTCACAGCTGTGGGATGTAAGGTTTGCTAAGAGGTCACTGCTAAAACTAGAATTCACACGAGAAAATGTTTTATTATAATAAGAACAGTTGCCAATACTTTCCGAAGTCTGAAGGATTCAACCTTATCAAAACTAGTGCTTGCGTTTGACAAGGTTTTCCAAATAAGATTCTCTTCCCTGGAATATGGTCTGGCTGTTTTGTACCTGTAGGTTTCCTTGTACTGTTTATTGATTGTATATGACTAGTCAAATATTTTTTTTAATTCTAATTTAATTGCATTTTGACAAGAATAAACATAGCAGCTGGTAATATCTGCATGAACACCAACCTAAGGCAATTAAACAGAATGCGACGATGATTCAATGTTATTGTTGAGTGTCTTTGCACAGTCGGGCGATTTTTATTTTCTTCCCGACCCTTCAGTGTGGCTGGAGTCCAGGTGGTAGAATAGGGTTCTTCTGGGGCTGCGGCTCACACTTATGAGGCTTCATCCTGCTCTCAGGGGGCTTCAGAGTGTGGCTGTTTCAATATTAATGTTGTTACATGAATTTTTTAGTATTATTATTATTGTAATATTTCTGCACTAATGGGTAGAAGACACTCAGTCCTTACAAGATTACAATTTCAAATTTTACTCAATTTTAAGGAAATATAATTTGGCTTTTCATATTTATATATTACAGTATATTTCTTCATATTGTACGTTTAAATATTTTATGATGTAATCAGTATTAGGCCATAAAGCCATTTTCTTCTTGTGGGAGTGTTAGTTTAAAACATTGTTACTGTACATTTTTTGTTGCATCTTCAAACGCATACCTTTCTGGGTAGATGTTAAAGCCAGTCTATTGTTTCTTTTTTGTGAAGATTTTGTCCTACGATGTAAACTTCTTTTAGGATTTTCAAGAGAATCATTTTGATTTAAAACAATTGAATCTCTGAATCCGTGTGCGCATAATGATAACAGATCTTTGTAAATGAATTTTATTTGGCATCAGGGATTTTGGCCTCCTTGCTGAGGCCAGACTGCAATTTCTGATCTCATTTTAGGAGGAAATAAAAGTACTTTTACTCATAACGCCTGTCAGGACGGTGAGAGATTATGCACTTTGGGAGGGTCTGTGAGATGGGTGATTTTGACGTTTGTCATAAATTGTCTGCCTGATGTGGAAGAGGGCGCGAGAGATGTTGGGGGTGTGTCTGCCTTGCTGGTCTCCGCCAGTCTTCAGTGCTTCCCTCTTCCTAGAAGTGTTTGAAGATGTGTGGGGTCCTGTCAGGTTGGTAATTCGGTTATTGCACGTACAAGAAACTGCCTGCAGACATACTTTGGCTGCTGGTTACTGTTCGGCAGCCCTGTTTTGAAAAGGCTCATTAAACTCCTCATCACATATACAGTATGTATACACAGTGAGGGAGCAAATTTGGAGTTTATGATTAACACAAGTGTCTTTCTTCTCCGGTGGTTGTGGTTGGGAGTTTTGGCGTTATTTTTAAGGAAAGAAAACCTCGCGCGATTCCTTTATTCACCTTGCGGCCGAGCTGCAGCTGATCCATTTAAGCTCCAGGATTCGCTGGTAGCTTTTTTTTTTTTTTCCCCTACTTGAGAACATAGGAAGGGTTTGCTGGCTTATCAGCCTGGCTTGCAAGCTGTGAGAAACGGCAGGACGCTACGTGGATAAGTCTGTCTTGGAAGCATGCATCCACAGAAGGGTAAGCGTCTTGAGGGGGAGTTCTTCATGTTGCACAGAACACTTTAATTGAAGGGTTACAGACACAAATGACTACCTTGCCTCCGAGCTAGTGGCAGTGTTGTGACATCAAGCTGTCTAGTTTCTCATTCCCCTAGTGGGCTACAGTAGAATAAACACTCTCATATCTGTGTGATGCCTTAGCAAGCCAGCTTCTGCTGTTATTTTGATTTTTCTGGTTATACGCCTGTAATACCTTCAAGCTGTCGTTGAAGTGCTTGTACTTACAACAGATCTGCAGCTGGCAGAGTAACTTTTTTTATATTTTTTAGGTAAATTTGTGGATCCTTTTATTCCAGGTCATTGTTGGGAAGTAATTAAAGTGCATTTGAGTAGGTTTTGTGTCCTTTGTGTTTATCGTACATCAGATTGCCTCAGACATTTGTATTTTTTATATATATATAAAGAAGCCCTTGGCTCTGTACAGATTTTAGCGTTGAGTGATTGTGTGGCTTCAGTTACTGTAAGGAAAGGGAAAGGCAGTGGGGTTTAGACAGCACTAGATGTCACTACAGTACAGGAACTCCGCAGTTAGGAGCATCCCCCTTTCTTTGGAGTCCTTGTTCTTGGGAAACAGGATTTAAGATAAGCCAGTTCAAGGAGGCTAATGGTTTGTTTGTTTGTTTTTTCTTCCCACCCCCACATCTTTTACAACAGCCTTTGTCATCAGACTGCTTTAACACAGATTGTAAAGCTTGGCCTAATCTGCTGTGAATAGTTCTTTTTGTACTTCAGAGTAAGGGTGACAAGACCGTTCTTGTTTTTCCGGTTTCCTCGGTTCTTGAGTGTGTTGCCTATTTGTCAGACTCTGCCTGTGCGGCATGCTGCTTAACTAAGCACACATTTGTCTTACTGGAAAGCAGTTTGTTTCACATATGGAGTAACTGTTAATAATCCCAAAACGTTGCAATGTTTTAGAATAGAGCAGTGCCTTAGGTTGAAAATAGGCTGCGTATTTTTGTAAAAACAAAAAGCTTATCCTGGCCATGACAATCATTTACTAGTGAATTGGGCTCTGAAGATAACGTTAGTCGGGAGCTGTGCATTTGTGCTTCAATGCCTGTCCACAGCATATTGTAAATACATCTCAAGTGTACTGATATAATATGAACTGTTTAAATAAAGTTTTGCAAAATAAAATTCGGGAATGTGTCCATTGTGCGTCTTCGCTGTTCCAGATAACTTCCCTCTAGGGTTTGCCGTCGCTGGTGTTACACGTATGTCAGGACGCCCTGGGAGCCGAGATGGAAGACTTGTGACCGTGATCGCAAGAGACATGTCAAAAAAGTCTGCTGTCCAAAAATAGAAGTATTGATCATCCCTGTTGTTTATTCTTGGATTACAGAGATGCATTTTTCCAACCCACACCTGACATTTCACTGCTGCAGAGCTCTTGTAGTTCCATTTTTGTCACTTGATCAGAAATATTGTTAAACAGTAACAGGAAATGCATAAAGCCTGTGATAATAACCTTCAGAAAAGCAGTTATAAAAGTATATAGTTCTCACAACTTGGATACTATTATCAAACTCATCTGCTGAGGAAGGATGCTTTTTGCATTCAGAAACGATTGGATATTTTAGCGTACAGTTGGATGCAACCTAGCCCTTGCATACATTTGCTTCCAATTAGCATTTGATTTATAATCTACCACACAGGCAATTGCACGGTCATAAATACTGATGAGGAAGACCAGCTGCTTACGTGACACTTGAAGAACGGCTCTCATTTCTGTCCAGATCTCCAAATGTCTATTACATCTGCCCACATCAAGCAAAATGATTTAGTGTCTTTTTGTTACACTAAACGCTTTCCTAGATGTTACAAGGTATCTGACGAAGGCAGAGGACAGCCTTGCCAAGCTAGACAAATCCAGTGCTAAACAAAACCAGCAATTTGTTTTGACGATTACCATTAGAGCTTGTGAATACAGTTTTAGTACATACCACGTCTATACAAGTGTTAAGCAAAAGCAGTTTTCTAGTTAGTCTCAGCAATCATGAAAATGCTTCTTGCGAGGCATGGGTGTGTGATGGCTCAACACCTCCCATTATTTTTATAGAAGGACAAGCAAAGACTAAAAAGTTACACACCCCAACTCTTAGAGAAGATTAATAAAGAGTAAAATGAGTATTTTGCATGCTTACAAAAGCAAATCGTAAGATTAGTAGTACATTCTATAGATTAATGTTGATTTGGAGAAAAGGTGATGACTTTAACAGCAGCACAGTGGTTCACCGGCTCAGCCTGTAGCTGGAGTAAAGACGAGGTCACAACAGCGTGTAACATTTATAAACTCTTGGCTTTTAAAATCTGATGTAACTGATCGTCCAGTAGAAACCTGCTTATTTCTGTTGTGTTTTCACAGAGGTGCTCTGTGCTCTCGCCTCTCCAGCTACAGCTCAGCAGTCGGGACCCACTGTGGTACTTGTGTAGAGAAGGGGGCCCTCAGCCCGTGTCCGCCAGCCTCCGGGGAGTGGAGGTGCCCTCACAGTTTCTTGGCGCAGTCGGGGCAGTAGATGTTGTCGCTGTGAATGACGAAGCGCTTGTTGGCCAGCGAGAGGGAGCACTTCTTGCAGTTGAAGCAGTAGTCGTGCCAGGAGCTGCCCTCGTAGGTGACCACGTTGGTCCCTCGGCCGAACCCTGGGGGTGTAATGACTTACAGATTAGTTACAACGGAGCATCACTGAGTTACCCTGGCCTTTCCCTCTCCCCTGCTCCTTGGCCTCCCCCTCCCTCCTCTCTCCACTTTTCTCCCCTCTCTCCTCTCCCCTGCTCTTTGGCCTTCCCCTCTCTCCTCTCTCTTCTTTCCACCTTTCTCCCCTCTCTCCTCTCTCCTCTCCCCCCACTCCCTGGCCTCCTCCTCTCTCCTCTCCCCTGCTCTTTGGCCTTCCCCTCTCTCCTCTCTCTTCTTTCCACCTTTCTCCCCTCTCTCCTCTTTCCACCTTTCTCACCTCTCCACCTTTCTCCCCTCTCTCCTCTCCCCTGCTCTTTGGCCTTTCCCTCTCTCCTCTCTCTTCTTTCCACCTTTCTCCACTCTCTCCTCTTTCCACCTTTCTCCCCTCTCTCCTCTCTCCTCTCCCCCCGCTCCC